CCCATTAGGTACCCTAATATTACCCCAATGGGTCACCCTATATAAACCCTAAACCCTAAGTAGCAGTTTCCAATTATCCCAATATAACCCCATTACAACCCTAAACCCTACACCCCATTGTAACCCTAATATTACCCCAATGGGTCCCAGTGCCTCTGCTGCATCAGCAGCCCAGGAGGATGGCCCTGCCAACAGCGCCTCCAGGCCCAACCTCTGGGTTTAGGGTTTAGGGGTTTAGGGTTTAAGGGTTTAGGGTTTAGGGTTTAGGGGTTTAGGGTTTAAGGGTTTAGGGTTTAGGGGAGACTGTCGCTGAAAACGGAGATTCATGAGATCAACCAAAGAGGGGGTATATTCGGGTTATAGAGTTATATAGGGATAATGGAAAGTAACATGGGAACTACTATTTAGGGTTTAGGGTCTATATAGGGGTTATATTGGGTTAATGACTACTATTGCATATTGGGGCTATATGTTGGGATAGTTGGAAAGAAAATGGAAACTACTATGGTATAATGGGGTTATATGTTATTGGGGTAATATACTCACCCACTTCGCTGTGCACCCGGCGATGGATTCTCAGGTCGGGCTCGCTTGGCCTGCTACGGGCTCTCAACAACAACTCTGTGCCAGGCCATTGCCCAAATGCCGCACACTTTGAGATGGCCTTTGGTGGAGGGGCCAGCGGATAGAAGCGCTGCTTCTTTCGGGTCCTTCAGGGAACAGAAAGCAACTCCCACGCGTTAGAACCACACTTGCCTTCCGCGTGAGATGGCGTGTGCAACCCCAGGGCAGCCCCTGAAGGATCCCGAACACGTTCGGGTGTCCTGCCATTGGCCTTGGCCTGCACAAGGAGGAGGAGGAGGGGTGCAGGAGGATGGGTAATGTAGGCCCGTGATTCACAAACCCCTCCGATTCATAGGGATTGTAATAGGGACCCCACGTAATATTCAGGCCCTTAAGAGAAGGGGGTTTATTAATCAGGGGTCTAGATTGCGAGGAGGAATCAAGAGCCGAAGGGGTAGGTATACAGATGAATTATGGCCTCGCATGCGCTTAGTTGGGGGTACATTCCATGCATGCTGTGGCCATCCAAACCTCCAACAACTCCGTTGAAGCCAGGCTTCCATGTGACCCGGACTTTCCCAGCCTCGGGCCGGGAGCTCATCAGCTCACGTACAGCGATCCATGGGCTCAAGCTCCACTGGCTATTGTCTGGACTACACTGCAATGGGATTGCTCATTGCAACTGATTTGCGTTGCTGCACTTGCAGTTGATGGCTCTCAGGGGCCCGTCATAAGCAAGTTAAAACTAGCTGTCTTACAGATGCGCCTCCTTTTGCCTGCTCTACAACAGATTGTCACTCTGTTCAGGTATGGGTCGTGGCCACACACGTGTAGGTCCGAGATGGTCTGAGGTTCCATGAGTATGGCCTCGTGCTGATGACACTGATGTTGGGCTGTTTATGGGATCTTCGCTCCTTCATGACGCTCTTCATGCTGGCCAGCTAACAGCACGCCATGGGCGAGCGAGCAGGCAATGCACTCTCACTTCTGGCTCGCGGTGCGGGATTACAGTATGTCGTCAGGGAGTTGGTAAAATTCCAGAAGCCGTAGCAGAGCTCTTTCCAGCTGCTGCCCCTAAAGAAATCCCCTCTGGCCTTGCTTGACCGGCACTGGAATTGATCCAGAATGGTGTCTGTGTCAGCATCTCGTGGATGCTCATACACCACATGCTGCCTGGCCCAGCAAGTGAAGACACAGGATTGGAGAAAAAAACCTTCAGGATACAAAACAAAGAGCAGCACTTTGCGAATCCATTAACTTACGCATGCTCAGCATGGGAATTGGCAAATGTATCCCTCTAGTGGTCCTATACATCCCCGTTTTAATCCCACCCAGGGACCTATTCCTCGCTAACTGGATTGCTGCTAAGGCGTGTAAACTGAGTTACCAGTAACAAAGAACTACATCATTTACTATATCCCCATGTGATGGTTACTTACGTATAGTTCCTGTACAGCAACCCAGCTAGGCATCAAAGGCTTCATGCAGCAACATGCCCAAAACCCAAAGGGCGCACCAGGCTTGGTCCTTGTCCAGCCACATCATAGTGGTCCTGGAGTCAGGCGGTTTGGGGCTTAGGACTTCTTTCGAAAAGAACACCCATGTGTGGCCCCAAGGTATGAGGCGCGATGCTACAAACACAAACCAACCCACAAGGGTCCAAAATTCTAAGAGTGAGATATGTGCATCTTCGCCATAGCCATTGAATCAGAAAAGGCTCTTCCCTGAAATCAGTTGAGCCGATCACTCTCAGACCTCAAAAGTCACCATGGTGTCTGCCAGGCCCAATAAACAATCACCGCTAACTCCCTCAAGAGGTTGTTCATCCCCAAGCGCGGTTTGCCAAAAGGAGGGCCCTTCAAAAAGAACGCCGCACCAGGCTGCCTCCTTGTCAAGAAGCCCCTTTTGAAATACAAAACAGAAAACTCTGGGGAACCGCCAAAAGAAGGTTATCTGACAACAGCCCCAATCTGCCCAGGCTCGTTGCAAGCCACATCTCACTGGATCCTGGGACCGGAGCAACGGCCACCTTAGCGTTCTTTACACTTTACCCCACCACCACCACCGCCGCCACCACAGCCACAGCCACTGCCACTGCCACTCTGCCACCTCCACCACCCCGCCCTACGACCGCAACCGCCACCACACCACTGCCACCACTACCACTACCACTACCACGACCATTACACAGAAGTGAAGGTTCCCGCGATGTTTTCAAGGTTTCAACATGTGCAAGTTGGGGGATATGGTCGGCGAGGGGGGCACCGCCTTCTGCCGCTGCTGTTGCAGCTGCTCGTCGGAGGACAACCACTACGACTTTACCGCACAAGCGGTGTTGCTGGATACGACTAGAAAACAAACGAAGTAATCCACACGAGAATTATGACGTAGTGTCTACATGCTGCTACAACGGTGACAACAAAACTGACAACTTAATCCATATTCTAGTTAATACATCTGCAATGCCCAAGGAGACGACGGCGGCAAGGCAGACCAGGGAAGACTGCAGCTTCTCGCCAACTGTCTTCGCCTCAGTCTAACCCTATGTCCCCACACACGGACACCAAAACCTAAACTCCTACCTAAACAACTGAAGCCTGAACTCGAGCAACATTGAAACAATCACGGGAGCATTTCCCAACATGAGCATGCAACCTGCGATCATCCCCATCATGAGGATCCTAAAACATCGTCTGCAATTTTGTGAAAGGCTCAATCTCAAGTAGAGGCGCTTGGAAGGCCCTTCGGCGTGATGACAGTGCGCCCTGCTGCTGGAGCCCCCGACCTCGGCTACTGATCAATGTTTCCACAATCGTGTTTCTGGTACTGTTGCTAGTAAGTTCTCTTGCATGATGATTACTATTCGTATTTCGAGTAGTTTGCTACCATTGAGGTTGTAGAGGGGTTGCGTTACAAATGCTTCACGCCTTCATCTTGCAAAAATCCTGAAAAATTACCGAACTTCTGCGAAACCGCATCCTGCCAGGATCGGACATAAAGGATCCCAAGCTAGACTCCCCAAATAAACATGAAACGCAAAAAGGGCCTGCTTGTAGACTTCTATCCGTTTAAAAATGGAGAATAGAAATAACAAGAATAGCAAACAATAGCAACGATGAAAACAACACGGGCAAAAATGATGATAATAAGAGGAAGGAACCCAGCTGTAATTCAATACTACCTGTGGGCTTGGCAAATTCCTCAATCTCCTCAGGAAGACAACCCCAACACCCTAAACTCTTTACACACAAACTCACAAAACCCCGCACACCCACACCTTGACCCTACACATCCCCAAGCAGCCCCAATATAAACCCCCAATATAGTAGAATTCCTATTATAGGGGCCCCAATATAAACCCCCAATATACCACAATTCCCTTTTACAGGGGCCCCCAAAATAAGGGACTCATGAGTATCGGAACTCTCCAAACCTTTGAACTCTACCCCACTGGCTGTGGCCCTTGCTCAGGAGCTTCAGCTGCCGAGAGAATCGAGCAGCGCGCTGCGGAGGGGTACACGGGGTTATTAATACGGGTTATATTTTGCTCATGAATAGGGGTTATATTAGGGTCATATGGGGGGTTATTAATAGGGGTTAAAGTATATGGATAATGGAAAAGAAAATGGAAACTACTATTTAGGGTTTATAGTCCCCCTTCAGTACATAGAATATGGCTTTGGGTATGTTATAATAACATCCCTGTATACTCTATATTCTATCTACTTAAGGGGGACTATAGGCTTTAGGGTCCAGGGTTTAGTGTTCAAGTTCAGGGTCTAGGGTACAGTTTCTAAGTTTGGAAGTATGGGCCTTCAAACCTCATTCAGGGCCCATGGCTGAGATCCAGGAAACAGGTAGGGGCCCATGGTGTGGGCCTTAGACAGTCGAGGGTTGCAGCTGAGACGCAGTCATGCGTCTCTGGACGGCATTCCATCAAAGGTTCTTTGGTCTTGCCACTTGTCTTGTCGCTTCTTTGCAGATGGAACTGTGCTCAAGACATCTCATAACGACTTTGACAAATCTGATATATAAGAGGCCCGTCTTCAAAGCCTGCAGAAACCGCATTTCTTCCATACGACTCAGGGGAGGCTCAGGTCAATTGCAAGCCCAGGCATCATGGAAGAAGGCATAGAACTCTTGAGCCCCAGCACCTGATGCATCTCGGCGTGTCTTTCCAGGAGGCGCTGAACCTGCGGACTCAAAGTGTAAGCTGCCACAGCTCGTACAACCAAGCTCATGCGCTTGCACAGATCATCACGATCCAACCGTTTAGGGTTTAAGGTTTAGAGGTTAATTAGGGTTTAAGGTTTAGGGTTTGGCTGTTTAGAGTTCAGGGTTTAAGGTTTAGGGTTTAGGGTCGTCCAGCAAGCCTGACCCCTTTCACCATTGGCCTCCAGGCCACTGATACCAGCAGCGCTGAACCAGCCCGCTCGGTCCATGTCCTCAAAGAGAAGACGCTCGCGCACCTGGATGAGGGTTGGGGCAAATCGTCCCCAATTTATAATCCCTATAATAATCCTTCTAAAAGCCATGTAATGCAATTTCATGCCTATTCACGATGATCCCTTGTACTCCTTATATAAGTTAGCCCTCAACCCTGAACCCTAACCCTCTTGCAGGGGAAGTGCTTCAGACGTGCAGGGCCTAGGCTCCAGCCTCCTCAGTTCCTCAAAACTCGGATGAAAAAATTACAGTTCCTTGTTTTAGGGGTTCCTTTAAAGGGGGATATACAGGATTATATATAGGGCAAGAACAGGTAATATAGGGATCTATAGGGATTCTATAGGGCTTAGTGTTTCCCAAAATTAAGAGTACCTTGATTCTAAAGCAAAATGAAGTCATTTGACTCTTCCCAGTTGAGATTGTTGAAGAAATGCGTCAAGCTGCTGACTCCCCAATTCTGAACCCGAAACAGTTCATTCTTAACCCTGAATTAACCCCGAACCTTAAAACCTAAACCCCAAACGTTGAAACCCTAAACTCCAGACCTTAAACCCTAGACCCCAAACCAAAAGCCTAAACCTTGAAACCCTAAACCCCAAGTCTTAAAACCCTAACCCCGAATGCTGAAGCCCACGCAGACGGCCTCCTGACCCCGTGCCAGAATGGCGGACAGCTCGGTGTTGAAGTCGCCAAGCCACTGGAGTGGGTTTAGGGTTTGGGGTTTGGGGGTTAGGGTTTAGGGTTTAGGGTTTGGGATTTAGGGCTAAGGGTTCAGGGTTTAGGGTTTGGAGCTTAGGGCTGGGGGATTCGGAGTTTGAGCGTTTGGGCACTTTTCAACAATGGGCGCCTTTTAGCGATGGATTTTATTACGGCACCTAGTACAATAGCACAAACTATAGTAGCAAATAACAGTCATAAAAGGGCTTTGTTTGCTTTATCAGAATCCACCAACATTGGGGGGTGCATTGGATGATCAGGAGGTGGAAGCCCTCTCATGGGGGGATTCGGGGCTATGGTCTAGACTCCTTGAAGGGGGTTATACTGGGGATAATATAGGGGAGTGGTACAGGTGGTATTAAGGAGGAGACTAGGAGCCTTATCTGAAGGGTCATTAACCGGCGTCCCAAGGAGACTCTAGCCAAAGGATTTTCCGTTCCATACCGACGCGCATGCTTCCGTGGCCGCTGCCAACCGATGATAACGAGTTTGCTGTGTGTTGTCAGTGCACCCTGAATCTGGTTGCTGTTAAGGAACTTATTTGAAGCCATATTGGTTACTATGTATACCCATTAGGGTAACTTAACTTAAGTTCCTCAACAGCAACGCAGATTTAGGGTTTAGGTGGCGCCAGGGTAAGTCCCTCTCGACAACAATTTTGGCTTCTCGCAAGCGCATGCTAGACTTGCTCATCTTGTAGTCGGCGGTGTGAGCCGGAGGTTCTTGAGTGTCAGAAGGCCTTCATGTTGTCGCGAAGGTTTAGGGCTTTTAGGGATTTAGGGTTTAGGGTTTTTACATCCAAACTCAAAGCCTAGAAGAGGGGGTTAAAGGTTATGAACTTCTAGGGTGCTGTGGTTCCTGAGTCTTCAGCTTCCCATACTGGCGGGAGTTGAGGAACCACCACTCGTAGGCCATTATGATCCTGATCCTGAGCCTGGTGGAGAGATGCAGAGGGCTGGAAAAGGGTGTTATATAGGGGATTAGATAAGGGACTACTTCAGGGGTTACTTAATATCATTTGGGGGGATACTAGGAATATCTGAATTTTGAATTTCAGAGGTTCAACGAGGTCAAGGCATGCAAGGATGCTCTTGTAGCAGCGGGATGCAGTTGTTACAATTGTTCGTTTTTGTTGACGCATGATGGGTGTGGTGAAGGAAGCCGTCGCGCTTTGGGCGTGTTGCTAGTTCTTAAGAGGGCGAAGGAATGACAGGCAAATGCTCTCCAAGCACAAGAGAAAGCCCCAGTAGGCCTGCGTGACGTGAAAGCACAGCTCCATGCTGAGGCACCGGCAGGTTTTCTTCTTTCGAGAATTTCCTCACACTGCTTTCGCAAACTCACCTCAGCTTCTGGCAAAAAGCATGTGCGAGCTGCGAACATGG